TGCTCCAATTTTATTCAACCAAGTACGAGTGTATATGTGGAAGCGAGTATGGAAACTTTGGAGCAAAATCAAGCCAGTTCCGACGGAAGTAAGGTGAGTGTAAAGGGGGTAAATTCTACGCCTTACGTATTCTTTTAAGTATTATGATTCTAAGTATTTAGCGAATTGGTTACCGTTGCTTGGTTATGTTTATCATTGATTATTTGTGCTTTGCTTGAGCTATGATTTGAGGTGATTTTGTGCTATTTGAGGTGATATGAGGTGATTTGGTGCTATTTACCTTAAAGCGTTATGTTTAGTTATTGTTAAAGTTTAAGAAGCAAGTTCTTTTAAAGAAGTAACTCACCTTCAAGAAGGTGAAGTCGTTTTATGTGTTTTTAGTCACTAGTGCCAGTCCGTTGCCTTTTGAGACATTTTGAGATAGAGCAGCAGTTATGCTCTTTAGACTTTTAAGATGAGCGACAGTTATGCTCTTGAGAATCGTGGTGAAGAGCCACCACGATAAGTTTAAAATGTTAGGGGGATGAATCGTTATGACTCCCCTAACTAAGTTTAAGTTTAAGGAAAGCCTGGATGGCTTCTCATACGTATGAGTTGGCAACAGGACTAGCTAGTGAGGGATCCCAGTGTCAGTCAAGTATTTAAGTCGAGATTTGAGCTTTAAGAATGGAGAGTAACAGTAACTCCCATACAGTTTTAAGAGTTAGGAATTTTAAGAGTGGAAGTACAAACAACTTCCACAAATTTAAGTAAGTGTTTTAAGTAAAGTACTAAGCAGTAAGAATTTTAAACGTAAGGGCGTAGACTGACCCCATCTCACTCACCAGTTTAAAGAGCTAGAGGAAGTGCTAGAGGAGCATTTAGTGAGCAGTGAATTCGAGGGCAGGCAGCTAGAGGAGGGCAGTATAAGCATCACAGAGGATGCTTAGTCAAGGTTTCAGTAGTAACAACATTAGAGGTTATCAGTTGATTATGAGTATAGACTGGAGATCGAATTGAGATTTTAAAGTTTGAGTTTAATTTGCCCACGTGTTAGGGCTTTGTTCTGAGCTACAAGTGTGTGTTTTCAGTATTTTATTTATGAAAATTTTCCCGCTGCAATTTAAGATTTGAGTATTTTATTTATCAAGGGAATTTCAGTAAAAGTAGTACCCGGCCGGGTTAGGGTGTTTCAAAAAGCATGCCACAATCCCAAATTCTTCACCTAAACCCTAGGTATCAATTCTCCAAAAATAGACTAAGAGACCAAGAAAACACACTTGGAGACGCAAGGAGATACCACAAGGCAGGTGAAGAAAAGGGGAAAAGCACTCCAAAGTTGCCGGGAAACCCGCCGGTGATTCGCCAGAGAACTCGCCGCCGGCGACCCAACCTCCACCAAACAAGACCAAACTACTGGGGAATGTGCTCCCCGGTGCCACGAGCGTAGGGGTGGTCGTTGTTTGTGATTTGAAGGTCGGGAGAGGGAGTTGTGGCCGAAAAACCACCAGAGAATACGGATGGGCTGATTTTCCGGCGAGGGAGGCAGTTGAGAATTTGAAAAAATGAGGTCTGATGGGGGGGGGGGGGGGGGGGGGCGGGGGGCGGGAGGCCAAAAATCAGCTTTTATAGTGGGCGGAAACACGGGTGGGCGGAAACACGGTCGTGTATCCCGTGTTACGCGCCCGTGTTTTTTAGGCCGAGAGCGTGCCTCCCCCCTTTGAAAACACGGGCGGGCAGGGTTCAAAACACGGCCGTGTTTTTGAACCCTTGCGCCCGTGTTTTTTATGCGGAGAGGGCAAACTGCACAAGGCCAAAACACGGGCAGACAGGGGATGAAATACGACCGTGTTTTTCTCCCCTGGCGCCCGTGTTTTTTATCCCGAGCCCACCTCTGCATTTTTTCAAAATCACGATTTCAAACAACCAAAACACCATCGTGCCCCGGCTCGAAAAAATACCCAGTCATAGATTAAAACAAACCTCCCAAGGCACGAAATACTTTCCAAACAGACTCAAAGACTCAAAAACCGACAAAAGTGAAAAGGAAAAAAAAGAGCAGAAATGCAAACCGTGGTGGGGTTGCCTCCCCACAAGCGCTTCTTTACCATCTTTTAGCTGGACGCTAGTAGAGGAACTAAGGTTCCTCGAGCTTGATCAGCAGCTCTGCGCGCTCGACAACACCTCCCAAGTACAACTTTAGGAGGTGGCCATTCACCTTGAATAGCTTAGTTTGAGCATCGCTGATCTCCACCGCACCGTGCGGGAAAACTTGGGTGATTGTGAAAGGTCCCGACCACCTCTAACGTAGCTTGCTCGGAAAGAGTTTCAGGCGTGTATTGAAGAGCAGAACACGATCACCTACTTGAAACTCCTTCGGGCCCCTCAACCGAGCGTCGTGGAGATGTTTGGTTCGCTCTTTGTAGAGCAGGGTGTTCTCATAGGCGTGGTAACGCCATTCCTTCAACTCCAACAGCTGCAACTTACATTCAGTACCTGCAACACTCAAATCCAGGTTTAGCAGCTTAAGGGCCCAGAAGGCCTTGTTTTTCTTATGCCCATCCGTGCCCTCGCCCGTGTTTTGCCCAAAATCGGGTTTTTGAGGCAGTTTGAAGCCAAATGAAAGTGAATCGAGTTTTTGAGCGAAAACTAGAGCCCTAGAGAGAGAAAGTGCAAAGAAAACATCCTAGAGGTGATTTTGGAGCTGGGTTTCATCAATCGAGCTTGGAGATCAACATAAGAGTGAAGATCATCATCCCAGAGCAGATTATCCTCATCTTTATGAGTATGACGACTCTGATTTCTATTTTCCTCTCTCTCTCTCTATGGAGTAGAACCTTCTCTCACTTGGGTATGAAGAACCCTAGTTCCATGTGTTAGGGATCTTGATTGTAATTACTTGGGATTGTTATATTGATTGATTTCAATCGATTGATGCATGATTCATTGAGTCAATTGAAGCCTGATCATCTTTTCTTGATTCTGCTGCAACCTGAGATAGATAGAATCTGATTAGGTTGTTAGAGCTTCATCAATCGGTAGTGGTAGATTGATTATACGAGAGTTAATCGATTTACTGCTTTGTACTGGAACCCAATTCCAGTAGTGGAGTTCTGTGCTTATTGCCTCAGCAGTCTATTCCGGTGAAGGTTAGTCGCATGCCGGTTAGCATGCTTGAGAGAGCTTGGTCAGCTTAAGAGATTCCAAGCTACTGTCGAATCTTCCGCAGTTTAATCAACAGTTAATCAACCCAGGGTAATTACAACTGTTACCTAACTAAGGAGCTAGGGGGACTCATTCCCGAGTGACTCTCCCCTTGCTAAAGAACTTTGAACCTTTTTCTACTTTCTTACTGCTTTTAGTTAAAACCACAATCACTCGACTTAGTTTGCTAGATAATAAATAATCACGGAGTAGGCAGTAGATCTAGGCCTCTGGTTGACAAATAGAGCTTTCCACTTGTTAAAAACACGCTCGCGTCGGCCAAAACACGGTCGTGCCTAAAGAATGAAAAAACCGTGTTTTGCTTTACTTTCGCCCATGTTTTGGACTTCGCAGCATCTCCCAAAAATCAACCCTCGGCATAAATAACACGGTCTGAAACACGGACGTGTTTTTCTTTAGGCCAACCCGTGTTTTGCTTCTTCATCAGTTCAGCTCTCGCGCTAAAAAACACTAGCGTGCTCGTTCGTGTACACGACCGTGTTCTTTAGGCCTCCTACCCGTGTTTTGCCCCCAGCTCGACCAAACGACCTCCAAACTCCCTGAATCTCATGCTTAGCCTTTCCTTCGACGTCGGGGACCTAAAATATGACAATGTAGCACAACCCGGCGTAAAATTTGCAAAAATACACGACTACGAGCCGCAAATGGATAAGAACTAAGGGTGCAAACATGTGCAAATAAATCGTTATCAGCATGCATACCTCTATCCCTCAAACTTCTGTCTCTATGTTCTGGCCCCAAGAATGATCCCGAGAAGTCAAAGTATCGATAATCTGGTTCAACTCTAGTGGAGTCTTCATGAGAATGTTGTCACCCGAGCACAAAGACTCGATCAACCGCTGACTCTTTGGGGACAAAGCTTTGTAGAAGTTCCCCATGGTGAATGCATCATTGAAACCATGGTGGGTACACTTCCAAAATAGTCCAAAATACCGTTCCCAAGCCTCTCGCAAGGATTTATCCTCTTCTTGGCGGAAATGGGTGATCTCCCGTTGAATCTCGGAAGTCTTCGAGGTCGGATAGTATCGGTGCACAAAATTGTGAGCCAGATCATCCTTAGAAGTGATGGACAGTGGCAGCTGAGTATCTAGCGACCTCTTTGCATGCCCCGCCAGAGAATGGGGAAAGAGGTGAAATTGGATCGCATCATCTGGAACACTACATAGAAAAAGGAGAGTTGAGTGGCTTCACCCCTCATGACCCTTCCGTGAAGGTATTGATCACCTTTGTCCAATACTGAAAATTGGAGATCTTTCCTCCATACCACCCAGATCCTCCCTACCATTGTTATAGAGTAGGTGTCACTAAAGTTCAAATCTATAAAATCATCCCTCTCCCCCGCTATTTTCTTTACATTTTCTTGGCTGACTCGTGTCTCTAGGGTAGCTATTTTATCTATCGTGTATTGCCTTAACATCTCTACTATATACTCGTGATTTGCAAGGTTATTGAATCCTTGCATATTCCACGAGATAACAATCATCTATATTAGTTCAAAACCTCCTTGCCCAGTTTTAGGAGCTCTTGAGACGCTTCAAGGGAGAAATCAATAGCAATCCTACCTCAAACTGCTTTATCGATGCTAGTACTGCAAAGGAATTCTCCACTCTGTTCTGTAAACCAGATATTGGATTCCCAACTACACTCTGGAATTATCTTTCAGTGAGCAATGTATCCACAGGCTCCTGCATTACTATCCTTTGAACCCCTCACCCCCTATTAAAGAAGAAATCAAGTTGGCAACCGCAATTTGGAGATCAACCCCGGTTTGAACCTGCACTTCAACTGGTTTTGGATCAACTATGATAAAATTATTAGTCTTAGGGTTGGATGATTGAGGCTCAGCCTCTTCTGCAACCACTTCCACATCTGGATTCTGGGTCACTAGACACTCATCAACATCTTTGAGGCCTATTCACTGACTTTTTAAATTTGTGCTTGTTTTAGTGCATTATAGTTGTGGCCAAGCTGATGGCACTTCTTACAAATAGCATGCAGGTACAATATTCCAATCTACACTATAATTAATAGCTGGAAATTAGAATTGTCACCTCCATTCAAAATTTCCTATCTCTAGAGTGATTTTCAAAGGGGTATTTTGGGAAGGGCTGAATTTTTATTGCAGCCCACGAGAACTAACCTCCCCATTGACGAAGGGCGAGGACTTGGAGTTCAGGTCATCAATCTTCGGTGTAACACACTACTCATCCCCCGTCATAATACCAATGTAAGGATTGAAGTGAGTAAATCTGGCAAAGAGAAAGGAAATAAGGTAGAAGACGGAGTTTAGGGGAAAGTAGAGCTCTAGCTTTATTGATATCTAACTAAAAGAGTAAAGTTGTTACAGGTAATCTGTTTTTCCCCAGAGATAACCAATTACAGAGAACTCTTCCTATTTATACAAGACCCTCCCTTTACACGCGAGACTTGCCATCTGTCTTGGGTTGTTACAAACCCCTCCCCCTTCAAATACAGCTTGTCCTCAAGCTGAAACTAAACTGGAAAACTGGAAACGTCCTCCTTAAACCCAGCCCCTACCCTTCTCAAAATTGAATGATCCACCAGTACTTCACTCTTCTAACTACTCATTGGCAAGAACTAAGAACTCATCATAGGCTGTTGTAGTAAGCTTGACCTGCTGAGATGTTTTTGTCTCAAGGAGCTAGAACAGACTTCTCCAATTTACCAACAAGGACAAGCTCTGAATCAAACCTAGAAGCTGCCACCAGCCTGTCCAGATTGTGCCGCCAAGCTCTGAATCAAACCTAGAAGCTGCTTTCACGTCAATCCTTTGTGAAGCCAAGGTGTGAAGGAGCCTTTCAAGCTAAGAACAAGGCTTCTCCACTTAGGATAAACCCAAGAGTAACATAGATTACAACATCAGAATGTAAGACCTTCAGCGAGTTCACAGTGACATCCCAAGGTTGAAACATACAAGCGATTGTTCAATAAGCATAATCCTTATGAGGGCCTGCGAAAATGCGAAACCCGTAACCCCAATTGGCATTGCTGGACTCGATAGGGCAACGAAAGAACCCAAAAGCAAACTCAGTAGGAGAAGGATCACCAAAAATGAAAGCGTACTGGATAAAAGTAAGGGGCTTTCCCTTCTATATCTTCGTCTTCTTTTTGTTGAACTTCTATTGCTTTCTCCATCATTTCCATTTCCTCTCTCATTCTGGCCAGCTCTTCTTTCTGTTGAATCTTGAACTCCTCCTTCATCCTCCTAATTACCATAACTCTTTTTGACTCCTTATTAGGCTCAAATCTTGTCAATATGGATTCAGTAACTTCCCAGATAAGGCTTAGGCTGTTCTGGTTTCTTAACAAAAGGTGTGACTATGCTGCTACTACCACTAGCGGCAGAAGGAGAATCTGTGGCATCTAAATCCACAAGTCCGCCTCCCTACCGATGCAACTCTCCAACCAAAATAACTCACCTATATCCAATCCCTCCTCCTGCTCCTTCACCGCCACCTCCTCCTAATACTACGCTGATACTACCCCAGGAGAAGAAATTGTAGATAGGGCAGCAGAAGACAGCGAGGTAGAAGAAGGCAAGGCAATAGGTGGTGGTTCTTGAGAAGAGAAAATTGGGGCTTGAACTCCCGGAGAAGAAACAACATAAGGAATTAGGGTTCTCAGTCTTGGGGTAGACAGGGAAGAAACCCAATCGAGGGTTGGAGAAGTAACCTGGTAATCGGTGGCCGAGTCAGATTGCTGGAGAAGGGGGAAGATGAACTCGTACATGAGAATACATAATTGACGACCGACGTGGTGGCGGACGAAACTGCTACTGTTGTTCGGCGAACTGTTTGGGCGTCGCGTGCATGGAGAACGAACCATAGAATCGGCCCACCGTTGCTCCAACGAAGCAGAAAGAGCATGATGGGGGCCTTCGTCGAAGCCGCAAGAGCATCAATGGCGGCCTTCAGATCCCGGTGCTGTGAGTCCATCTGCTGCTTGATGGCCTCCATTTGAGTTTCCAAAACAAGGATTCGTGTGGTGTTGGTAGCCATTGCCATATTACAGGCTCTGAATACCACTTGTAAGGATCGAAGTGAGTAAATCTGGCGAAGAGAAGGGAAAGAAGGTAGAAGACGAAGTTTTAGGGGAAAGTAGAGCTCTAGCATATAAAAGTTCATTATATATAAAAATTATAGTGTTATTGAAGTTTTAAAAACCCCGGTGAACTTAAAGTCTAGCTACACCACTTCTGACTACATTTGATCTCATGGCTAGAGTTGCAGCTGGCTTGTGGGAGCTGCCAAAGCTGGTAGTAAAGAAGAATCTCTTGTAATGTCAAAATCCTTTGTGAAATATTTAAAGGATCGAAAAAGTTTTCTTTGTTATAGGTATAATGACAGCATTTAGAAGCAGAAAGCGAAGGGACTCGATTAAAGAGACATGGATGCCCAAAGGTAAGGTTCGCTCTTTTCTAGTCTTTCTAAATGGGTGTCAACTATCTTCTTGAAAAAGACTAAACTAATTGCAACTTGTGGTTTATTTTCCATTCCATGAGAGGATTTAAAGAAACTGGAATATGAGATGGGTATAATCATGCATTTCATCATAGGACACAGGTGCTATTTACTCTAAAGTTTTGGCTTTCTGATTTTGGGATGAACAAATATATGAGCTCTTGTGGGAGTCAGTGCATCTCCAGGTGGGGTTTTGGATCGAGCCATTGATGTCGAAGAAGAGAATCATAGAGATTTTTTTAGGCTGGTACGACGCATATCGATTTGAATTGCGTTACAATGGTTTTGATTGGTACCTCTTATCAAATCACCTAGCAAATAATTATGTATAACTTGTTGCCATTTTTCATACTGCATCATCACATAAGGTTATCATGAACTTTGATCCAAAACGCAGATATACTTTTCAACTATTGTTGCAAAATGGGATGCAAACTTGTATATAAAAGTTTATGATGATGTACACAGTGAAGAAAACGTATAACGCAATAAGAGTAAACAAGCACAACGCAACACAAATTTACGTGGTTCTTCTCATTCGTTGTGAATGAGCTTACTCCACGGAGAAGTTTTGCTATCTCAGCTTTTCATTAGGGTTTTTGGTAGGCTGCTTACATAACACTTATACTCGGCAGCAACAAGTAAAACCGAGTTAGGGCTAGGTAAAAGGGAAAAGACCAAAAAACCCCTTATATCCGCTATACTCCCCCTCAAGCTGGAGCGTGAAGGTCACGAACCCCCAGCTTGGAAAGAAGAAAATGAAAACGATCACTACCCAGACCCTTAGTAAACATATCAGCAATCTGGTCACGTGTAGAAATCTTCTGCGGAAGGATCTCACCCGAAGAGACCCATTCACGGACAAAATAACAATCCATCTCCACATGTTTGGTACGCTCATGGAAGACAGGGTTGGCGGCGATGTGAAGGGCCGCCTGGTTATCACAATAAAGAGATGTGGAGGATGAAGTATCAACCCCCAAGTCATGTAGTAGGGCGCGCAACCAAATGACATCGCTGAAAGTAGTGGCCATAGCCCGATATTCAGCTTCAGCAGAGGAACGCGCCACAACGCTCTGCTTCTTAGTGCGCTAAGAGATCGGAGCACCTCCCAGAGTGATAAAATAGCCCGTTGTAGAGCGACGAGTGAGGTGACAACCACTCCAATCCGCATCACAAAAGGCACGTAACTGCAAATCCCCATCCCGGGGAATGAAAATACCCTGACCAGGGGCATGCTTCAAATAGCGAAGCACGCGTTCCGCCCCAGCAACATGGACAAGTGTCGGCGCATGAACGAACTGTAACACCCAAAACTTCGGGAAATTTTAAACAAATTAAAAATTACGAGGAAACAAGAATTCCATTCATACGCAAGTAAGTTGCGATTGAAACTATTGATTGATGACATTTTAAGTAAGAATATTATGGGTCAATTTATCAATAATCAGTATCTAAGCTCGACACTCTAAGTTAAGAAATTCTTCTACGATCACGTAGAAGAATTTTACAGACCTTAATTCCGAGTCCAAACGAGTAAGATAAGTTAGTCCATAGTGGAACCTATCGTTAGAGTAACGTTTGCGTACCTAAAGCTAAAACGAACGTATCTTATTTGTTTGACGTTGAAATAACGAGCCGTTTGCGGCCACGCGATCGTATCGACAGGGAGAACATTTTAGAGTGAACAGATATAACCCAAAACATCTATATAATCTTGATGATCACCGACAATTAAACGAGTACAGAAAACAAAGGGGGAGAATTAACCTCATCCACTCGTTACAGCCACCCCAATTCACACTTAAAGTAGCCTTTCACAAATTAGCCTTCCTAGCATAATTGTATTGATCTCATTTATACCCATCTGTCTACTAACCACCCAACAAGTCCTTTACACCCCATTTCCCTTATCCCATCAGCTCGTGAAACTCTATTAATTAGAGACAGCTAGCTACTGCTAGACAACCCATAGCAACTAGCCTCTCTCTCTCGGTCCTTAAATTAAACTTAGGGAAAAGAGTGTGAGAAAGCCATCCATCTGCATCTCATCTCTCACACCTCTCTGAATACTAGCACATTAGACCCTTACCCTGTCATCATTCCATCATCATCAACGTGTCCATCCACTCCTTCCATTTTCATTTCACCAAAGCAACACAATCGCCAAAAGCTTCTCGACGTCGCCATTATCGTCATTGTCGAGTAATGACCATGTAACTAGCAGCTACCTCATCGCCTGTCACGCACGCACTCTCCCGATACCAGTAGCTTCGACGACAAAAGTACGAGGCTATCAAAGGATGATCTAAGCGATAAACTGAGGTTCAACAGCCTGTATCTACCCTAGGCTTGCTTTGAAGGTGAGTACTCATCCCAATCGATCTCCGAATTTGATTTCGATCAAAACTAACTCAAACCCACGTATATAATGGTCGTAACTTCGACAGCGGCTCCGGCGTGGTCGACCTCGACCAAACTTTAAAACCTTGGTACCATCGTGAAGAGGACGATCCCAGGATCGTCACCGTTTTGACGAAAACGAATTTCGACGTTAGACGAACGAGAACGGAGCTACCAAAGTTTGAGACGTGAGCTGAAACGTACAGGTACCTGTCTGCGAGAAAATATCTAGATTAGTCCCCCATGTTTTTAGTATGAGCAGATTGGTCCCCTACGTTTCAAATTTTGACAATGGACCGAAAGTAGTATTTTCTTATGGACATGTTTACTTCCGACGCATTTCAGTGAATATTTTTATGATTTGATAATTTTATAAATTAGAGAATATTATTTCGATGACTGGATAATAATTTGAGAATTTTACGAGCTGTATTTATAATTCTAAAAATTCGTAGAACATCATTTTTAGAAAATTAAAATACTGTATAACCGACTTCGGCATGTTTGATAATTTTATACGTAACTAGGGTGCTATAAGGTTACTCATAATAAATTTGGAAATTTTAAGAGGTGATTTAATATTTATAAAAATTAAACTAAGGATGGTTTTATTTAAATAAAATAGTAAAAGAAGGCTCCTGACCCATTTGATAATTTTACAAGAATCTAGAATGATGTTTTGATATTATAAAATTATAGATTTAAGGAGGATAGTTTTTAGTGAGTTAAAAGTGATAAATTGAGCAGTATCGACTAAAAGGATATACGTTCAAATTATAGGTTTAAGGTAGCAATCGGAGTAAGGGTTCCACATCAAGGGAACTAAGTAATCGCCACAATAGGTGAGTGTAAAGGGGGTAAAATCTACGCCTTACATATTTTCAAGTATTTACCTTATGGTAATTACGTTTGAGATTTGCTGCTATGTGTCATATATGCTTATGTATGTTTACGTGATGCATGATATTACATGTAAGTTATGTTTTCAGTTATAAAGTTGATGACATGTATTTAATTACTAGTAAGTTACTTTGAAGGAGTATTTCACCTTCAAGGAAGTTGAAAAGTTTTAAGAGTTTTTAGCCGCTAGTGCCAGTCCGTTGCCCATATGAGATTTTAAGATGAGCAGCAGTTATGCTCTTGAGAATCATGGTGAAGAGCCACCACGATAAGTATAAGATGTTAGGGGGGATGATCGTTACGACTCCCTTAACTAAGTTTAAGTTTAAGGAAGCCTGGATGGGCTCTCATACGTATGAGTTGGGCAACCGGACTAGCTAGTGGGGGATCCCAGTGTCGGTCAAAGTTTTAAAGTTTTGAGAGTGGGGTTAAGAGTAAATCCCACGTTTTAAGAGTTAAAGTTTAAAGGGCGAAAGTATAATCAACTTCCACTAATTTATTGTTTGAGGAACACTTAAGGTAATAATCCGTAAGTGTTCCAAGTTTAAGTAATGGCGTAGACTGACCTCAACTCACTCACCAGATCGTAGAGGAGGAGATCAAGATCAGATAGTTCGTGGACAACAAGTTAGAGGGGCTCAACATCAGCGTCGTTAAGGAATGGCAGACCAAGCATCAGAGTAAGCGTTGGAGAAAACTTTTAAGTTATTTGGACTTTGTGGTTGAAAGTTAAGAACTGGAGATTCTGGTCGTTTGTTGCTTTTAAGAATATGATTTGGGGTTTTGCCCATATGCTTAGGGCTTGTCATTGAGATTTCAAATTATTGAAGTTTGGTGTATTTATTTTAAGTGTGTTTATGTATAATTTTTAAATATACCCCGGGGTAGAAATGTCTTTTACATGTTTCAAAAAGTTGGGATGTAACACGAACTGACTGAGGACATTCACAGCATAGGAAATATCTGGTCGGGTCACAGTCAAGTAGAGCAGACAACCCACAAGTCGACAATAAGCAGAGGCATCAACAACAGAAGACTCGGCCGATGAAACCGGATCAGTAAGACGATGATTAGTCTCAATAGGGAACAAACTAGGACGCCCACCAATAAGACCAGCATCATGTAGAATATCAAGAGTATACTTACGTTGAGATAGAATCATGCCCTGAGGGGAGCGAGCGGCTTCAATGCCGAGAAAGTACTTCAAAGGTCCCAAATTCTTAATGCCAAATTGTGTGTGAAGAGTATCTTTGACATGGTGAATGAAAGAAGGGTCATCTCCAGCAAGAAGGACATCGTCCACGTCGATCAAAGCAGCTACGAATGATAACGGGGTCCGACGGATGAAGAGAGAGTAATCGGCCCAGGAATTAACAAAACCAAGAGAAGTTAAGGTGGCTGTAAATTTTGCATACCAGTTGCGAGAAGCCTGCTTTAAACCATATAGAGATTTCTGGAGACGGCATACACGAGCCTCGCCCTCCGCAGAGAAACCAGGAGGGATACGCATATATACCTCTTTATGAAGATTGCCATGGAGAAAAGCGTTGTTGACTTCCAACTGATGCACAATCCAGCCGCGGTGAACAGCTACGGCCAATAAACTACGAACAGAGACAAGATTTGCAACTGGGGCAAACGTATCATGATAATCCACCCCCTCAACCTGTGTGTAGCCCTTGGCCACTAAACGAGCTTTGTAGCGCTCAACGGAACCGTCAGGACGGTATTTTATCTTAAAAACCCGCTTACAAACAACAAGTTTCTTCCCAGGAGGAAGGGAGGTCAAAGACCAAGTCCCACTAGCTTCGAGAGCAGCGATCTCTGCGCGCATGGCAGCACGGCAATGTGCAAAATGCACGGCCTCGCGAAAAGAAGTGGGTTCACGTTCGCGAGACACAGCAGCAAGAAATGCGCGATGTGCAGGGGAGAAAACATGGTAGGAAATACAACCGGACAGAGGGTAGCGAGACACTTGAGAAGCTTGAGGAAGATCTAGCTCGTAGTTATCCCGAAGGAAAGGAGGAACCTGGCGCACCCGATCGCTTCTCCTTGGAAGCGGCTGCTCAACGGGGACAATTGGCGAGGAAGGAGTGGACCGAGGCTACTCCGTTTCCTCGGATGGCAAGGTGCTCGCCGGAGAAATCTCAGGAGAGGGAGAACAATCCCCACATATGGGAGGATCATGCCCGTCATCGAAAGAGGCCACTGGATCAGCAGGAGGAGGCAGACTACTAGGCGTCGAAGGAGTCGCCTAGGCAAAAGGGAAAATGTTCTCCCCAAAGACCACATCACGCGAAACAAACAGCTTGTGTGTAGCTAGATCAAGTAGTCGATAACCCTTTTGATTCGTGGGATAACCCAAGAAAACACACCGTCTCCCCCTGTCACTAAACTTGTCGAGACCTTTGTGATTGTCACGGGCATAAGCTAGACAGCCAAAAACCCGGAGGTGAGTATAAGTAGGAGGACGATGAAACAACAATTCATAGGGAGTGCGATTCTGTAAAACAGACGACGGCAGTCGATTGATGAGATAAGTAGCAGTGAGAACACATTCACCCCAATACCGGATGGGGAGTGATGCACGAAAATGAAGAGCCCTTGCTGTCTCAAGGAGATGGCGATGTTTGCGTTCAGCCACACCGTTCTGCTGCGGTGTGTCAGTGCAAGAAGTCTGCAAAACAATGCCATGGGACTCATAAAAAGACAGTAAGGAGCTTGTTTGAAACTCAACCCCATTATCAGCCTGCAACCTGCGGACCTGGCATCCAAACTGTGTACTGGCCATATGTATAAACATTAATAAATAACGTTCTGCATCAGACTTATATCAAAGCAGATAAACCCAAGTAGCGCGGCTGTAATCATCAACGATAGTGAGAAAATAACGTGCACCACTGACTGATGGAGTTTTATATCCCCCCCAAATATCCACATGAACCAGTTCAAAACAAGACTTCGTCCGAATGCTACTGCTAGGAAAAGGTAGGCGAGTCAATTTAGCTCGCAAACATGAATCACATGAACCAGTCTGACAGGAATTCTGAACCAAAACAGATAAATGCTGTGCTTTCTTTCCAGATGGATGGCCGAGACGAGAGTGCCATATCTCCCCCATGTCTTCTCGGCTGCTAGCTAAAGTAAGAGCTACGGCCCCATGTTCACCAAAAATATTGAGGTAGTATAGCCCGTCTCGAAGCTTACCCATCCCAATCAGCTTCTTCGAGCGTAAGTCCTGTATGACGCAAAAGTCCCGTAAGAATATCAAGGCAACCTCGAAGTCCTTGGTAAGACGACTCACAGAGAGCAAGTTGTATTTAAAAAGGGGAATATTCAACACATGACTCAATTTTATCCCATTCTGAAGCTGCACATCACCCACACGCTTAACCGGAACACTCTGCCCATTGGGAATTTTTACTGGCAAATAGGTTGCCGGACTATCACCAGCTTGCAGTAAACTCTCGTCATTAGTAATTTGCTCATTGCACCCTGAATCAATAACCCATTCCGAAGAAAGAAAACACGTACCAGCAATGTTCGCAGTCGGCTCCATGGGAGTGGAAGAGAGGCCGCTGCTATTTTGCCCCAAGAATGAAACTAGCTGCTGCACTTGTTCTGTCGTGAGGCCCGGAATGGAGACCCCAGCACTGACAATTGAATTTGCAGCATTGGCGGCCCGAGGTCGAGGTTTGCCTCCTCACCCTCGATTGTTATCCCGCTCGGGACGATCAGCAGGTCGTGGACTGCGCTCGGGGTACCCGATTAATTCATAACATCGGTCGCGAGTGTGACCCGTTTTCTGGAAATGGGTACACTTGAACCTCTCGCGATCACGTCGTTCTTCTGGCTTCTGTAGTTCCAGCCCATTACTTTGATCACGTCTACTGTCCCGCCCATCAAGCTCACGAGCACCCTCTCGCTCGCGACGTGCCTGAAAGGCGGCAGCTTCACTAACCGGCCTTCTGCTGGCCGAAATTTGCTTATGTTGCTCCTCAGTGGACACAATGTTATAAGCCTCTGATAAACTCGGCGTAGGTTTCATCGACAAAATTTGAGTCGTGATCGTGGAAAAACCTTCATCCAATCCCATTAGAAAATCAAAAAGACGATCATTAGATTGAATATCACGTACCCGACGTTCTACGTCGCCAGTGCAATTGCCACAAGTGCACTTTGGGATAGGTGTAATAGTCTGCATCTCTTCCCAAATACCACGAAGCTTCGTGTAAAATGCAGAGATGCTGAGCTTCTCTTGACGTATTGCGACCAGCTGCTGTCGCAACTCATAGGCTCGAGGAGCAGAACCCTTTCCGAACCGTTCTTGGAGATCAACCCAGATCTCCCTTGCATTACGGGCGTGCCACACACTAGATCGAACTTCCTTTTCCATGGCTGTCTTCAGCCAGCCTCTTACCATAGCATCAACCTGAGCCCATGCCTTCGCCTCAATTCCAGTGGTAGGCTTCGGCACTGTTCCATCACAATTCCCATCTTGTTTTTCGCGAGAAGCTCCTCGGTCATATCACTGACCCACTCCCCATAATTCTGATCGTTCAGAAGATCACCTACGAAGAGCTGACCAGGGTTGTCCGATGGGTGGAGTCGCAGCACAGCAGCCAAACTCGAGGGATCATCACCAAATCCTCCGCTACCGCCGCTGCTGTTCACTGTCGTGCTCATTGTTACCCAGTTCCGCCGCTCATTGTTACCCAACAGGTTTAGAAGACCTGCTTTGATACCATGAAGAAAACATATAACGCAATAAGAGTAAACAAGCACAATGCAACACAGATTTACGTGGTTCTTCTCATTCGTTGTGAATGAGCTTACTCCACGGAGAAGTTTTGCTATCTCAGCTTTTCATTAGGGTTTTGGTAGGCAGCTTACATAACACTTATACTCGGCAGCAACAAGTAAAGCCGAGTTAGGGCTAGGTAAAAGGGAAAAGACCAAAAAATCCCTTATATCCGCTATACACAGGAACCTTGGTCAGTTTGCTTCATTCGGTCAGTTTGCTTCATTTCCTCCCACCCCTTCTGTTTTGCATGCTTGGTTAATTCTTCACCCAAATTATGGATACAACTTAACATGCCTGGTGAATCCCTAAGAACAATTTGGCAGGTATGGTTGGCTCAACACTGGCACAACATTGATCATAACCTCGTTTGTATATAGGTTGCATGAAGTCTGGACCAGTCCTCACGCAAAAGTAAGCAAGTAGATATATGTCAGTGTTCACTTGTGGGTAATGATCTTTTGTGAGTATAAATTCCTTCAACTCGTCTGCAGTGTTATGAATGAAGCGCAGAGGGTTGAAGTACCACGAACCAGAATACTGGAAGTCTGGGGAGGAGGGTAATTAGTACTTTAGAGGGGTAATTAGAACTTCGTCTCGGAATCTGTGAAGCGGTGCGCTTTGATTCAAGCATTGGAGTTACGGACGCGTTCTGATGCTCACTACCGTGAACTAGGCGCGCGGCTGGGTATAAATAGAAATTTGGAAGGAAGAAGAGGGGAGCTTTTAGTAGGTTTTTAGTGTGTAGAATAAAGGAGGGTTTCTAGGAAGAGATTAGGGTTACCCCTTCCTAATATAGAGAGAGAAAGTGCAATTCAAATGAGGAAGAAGGATATTTGGGCTCATTTCAACCTAGAGGATTGAAGGTTTCTTCTTCTCAAGGGAGATTCAAGCAACAAGGAGGAAAGATTTTCATCTCTTCGCGGTTCTTTCTCTCCTTTTCATTGTTTTCCTTTGCCTGGCTATGGAATAGCCCTTCTTTCACTTGGATGGTTGTAAACCCTAACTACAATTATGTGAATGCTTGTATGAATTGAACAATTTGTGATTGGTTGTGTTTTAATATGAACGTGGAGGTATTATTCAGAAATGATTGTGTTGTGTGAAAGCCTATCAATCTAATTGTCATTCTAACCTAGCATAGAGAGGAGAACTGCTTAGGTTAAGAGGCTCAATTTGAGATGCGTTTTCTTGGGCATTTCATGCCTCCTAGGCTAGCTTAGAGAAGAAACCTCCTTAGGTTAAGAGGCTCAATTTGACATGGGTATTCTTGGGCATTTCATGCCTCTTATGCTAGTTTAGAGAGGAAACCCCCCTTTATCTAAAGAGGCTCGATTTGAGCTGGGTTTCCTTGGGCATTCAATGCCTCCTAAATTAGTTTAGAGAGAACCCTCCTTAACCTAAGAGGCTCTATTAGAGATGGGTTTCCTTGGGCATTCAATGCCTCCTAGCTAGTTTAGAGAGAACCCTCCTTAACCTAAGAGACTTTATTAGAGATGGGTTTCCTTGGGCATTTCATGGCTCCTATTCTAGGTTAGTTAAGGGCAAACCTCCTATTTTGTATTAGCACTTAGGGTTTTGTTGTTGGTGGTCGTCCGAACTCCAATTCGAGGGCGAAGTCTAACCATTCCTTGGTCAATAGGTTGAGAGGGTCGCATTAGCGGCTTGGAGTGTATCCCATTTCCTCAACCTAGAGACTAAGAGGGTAGCCTTGTCTACTTGTTACACTTCCCTGCGGGTTATAACTCCCTAACCACACACGGTCATTCGATCCTTCAAGCTGTAATTGCTAGCTAGGTGGAGCAACACCCTAGTGAACTCTTCTCTCATTGGGACAACCTCGATTTACTTTACTTGCTTGTTTTCATTTGTAGGTTTATTAGTTTTAACCCCAAAAATGTTTGCTAGATAACAAACTAAGCAATTGAAGTAGGGGTACATGGATCGGCCCGGGTTTGACAATTAAATACTTGCCCTATACTGCACCTGACTAGAATTTAAATACTTGTCCTATAATTCCTTTCTTTCATATCTTATTCTCAAGAATTGAAAGACCACCATCTACTATCTCGAGTTCGATGTAAACCAGTCGATTCTCTTTGGTTATCCCAAAAAGCTTTGCCCATGATCTCTTTATCATCATTTAGAGAAAGGAAAGGAGAATAAGATATGAAAGAAAGGAAGAGGAAGCAGTAGGGATGAGCGCACATTGTCGGAAAAACAAAAGACGGCGAGAGCCTGCTGACAAAGCACAATGACGATGATCGAGATCGGTTAGACAGAGAGAGAGCTCCATTTCTCTATATTTATGAATAGCTAAAATTTTATATTATTCAGATTCCATGGAACCCTATGTTTGATGGATTGCTTCTTATCATTTATTATTCTATTGACACTTATTTTGGGGTAAATTGAAAGTTTGGTCACTGGAATTACTTAACAAGTTTACGTATGCCACTAACATTAATTTATTCCATTAGTAGTCATTCAAATTAGTTCAACAGTTCTAGTTTGGTCACTCTCTGTTAGTCTCCGTTAACTTTTTCTGATGTCGCAAAATTTGCTACCTTCTCTCTCTAGACAGTTATCGCTCTAAACATAATTTCCGCCGCTTGCGCCTCATGCGTGGTGGTCAGCGTTGCCATTGTGGTGCCATTTTTCGTAGCTTCTCTAAGTGAGTGAGGTATGGACTCGAGTCTGAATATGTCGTGAGGGTCTTTGGAGGATCTAGTTGGCATCGCTGAGGAGAATCGCTTGGTGTATGTGGAGCCGAAAATCATCGTTGGCGGTCTCCATATCCCAACTGAGCTTGAAGACGAAGGAATTGCAAGGTGGCAGCATTGGTTGGTGGGCCAGTTTCTCTCTACCTCTCCCCATATTCGCCAAGTTCAGTCATGGGAGAATCGTCTCTGGGAAGAAGGGGCCAATTAGGGTTTCATGGCTTGGCGAGCGATTGCTTCTCTTTCAATTCCCGAATCCGGAGACAGCGCATCTGGTCTTCTCGAGCGAGCCTTGGCATCTGAAGAAAGATATGTGCTACTTGAGGAAATGGGAACTGGGCATCAGAGCAGAGCAACCTGGGCCGAAGATTCTAATCTGGCTATGTATTCTAGACTTGCCTCTAGAACATGTAACGGGGCAAATGCTCACGCGCCTAGTAAATATGATAGGGTGCCCTCTCTGGTTTGACAAGTCTAGCCGGTTAGGTCAGAGACTGGGCTATCCTCGTGTTTTTGTGAAAATGGGGATAGATTCGATCTTCCCAGAATCATTGAGGCTGTAGAGAAGCCAGGGCTTCTAGGACACTGTAGTAGTTCTGCTCCGTCACGCCGAACCTTCCTCTATTGAACTTTTACCGCAATTTCCCAAACCAGGTGTGTCGTAGGCGACGCCATAAAGGAACCAGAGGTCCATTGATCGCTTCTGGAGCCGTCCTCGATGGAGAATGGTATTCGCGGAGGGGTATCATCGTGAAAATCTCTATTACGTCCTGAAATCGATGAACAATGTCGCTATGGTGATTTCGTCATCCGGCGAGCCGTCAATCCCATAATTAAGATTTTGAAGTACTCCTCTGTTTTGAACTTTTGATAAAAAGATATTCATATTAATATTATTATTATAGTGGAAAACAGAACAAATAAAGGTTTACAAAAATTTAGTGGGAAGCCGCGATACAATTTGGGCTCCCACTCCTTTAGCTATATCAAAGCTAAGTCGAGTGAAAATGTACGTAGCTGCTCGAGCCCCCGCATCCTGTGACACGGAGAATTTCTGGATCCTCTTGAGTAGAGCCACGACATCCCCATCCAACTATCCCAGCGAAGAAAAGGAAAAGGGCAGGAAACCATAACCAGCTACCATGCACAAGTCCCGATACTTGACACACTTTCGCTGAGCAGCATCATTAACTCGTCTGGGGATAAAACCAGTCATCCCAGTCTGATTCAAAGACGAAGATCCACTCAAATCGATGCACACGTCTCGCCCCCATCCCAAGAATAAAGCAACAAATCCGCAGGACGAAGGGGTCCACCATACCCATCAACCAAACTGATATCAACCTCTCTACCGACAGAAATCCCAGACCTGTAACAGATGTTCAGTAAGGTGTCACGAACGAGGTTATGCCGATGCTTAATGCCCATAATACCAGCATAGGACACAACATGATCTCCAAAGATATCACCATGAAAGACACAGGAACAAGTAGGACATGGCTTAGATACCGAAAACAACGGGACACCCAGTCGATAACTAAGCACACTACGATATGTCCTCCCATTCACAGTCTGCCCTAACCCATCAATAGGAATAGCGCGCAACCAGTCAGAAGAGTGCGTACTCTGCTGAGACTTCCACGAAGCCACCTGACGCGTAGTCAACGAGCAAACAGAATCTGAACTAGCAACAACCTTCGTGAAATATATGTCTGCCAATTTCTTCATAAGTTTTGGGGCAGCAACTCCACTAGGGTCCCGTAAGAGATCAGAACCTGTAAACTCAGTAAAGGTGCTTAGGGCATCATCAAAAGAAGGACCAGGAGATAGGATACCAGAAGGACCTAAGAGTTTAGCTTGCAACTCCGCAGACTCCAAACAGGATGCCAAAAAAGCATAATAAAAGACATCTCCAGTAGCATAAACCCCAAGCCTGCTTAAATGAAAAGGGAAGGTGGCAAGCCTAAACTGCCAATCGCCAAACCCAGGCCTAGAAATAGTGACAATACGTTCTAAACTAGAACGAAGAGTTGTGTCAAAAGATAGTTGAGCCGATCCAAAAACACGAGGAGAGCAAGTACGCAAAGAAAAGTAGAGTTTAGAAATACCAGCACAAGCACGCAACAAAAGCAACTCACACTGTGGGTCATCAATCCTCGCAACCAAGTCCATCAGCTTGACGGTCCTGGTAACTCTCTTCACCACAATCTCACTGCTAAAATCAGGACAAGAACTGACAGGACCACCCAGAACGATGACACCATGCGAAGGCCGAGCAATAGAGTCCGGGAAAACACCTGTAAGCCAACTCCTAGGATCCTTGGTAGGCCATAAAACCTCTTTCTTACCCACGTTTAGGTGAAGGCCAAATTAAGGGCCTTCATCCACAATCATTTCTAAGACCTTCCCAACAACTAAAGTGTCCCCCACAATGGTGTAATCATCCAAATACCAGGCCTGCATACTCATATCGAAAGAGTTTCTGATCTTGCACACTAAAGGATGCAACACCAAATCAAAAAGCAAGGGGCCCAAAGGATCTCCCTGCTGCACCCCCTAGCAAGACCTTAAGATATGCCCCCCATAATACAGCCGGGCAGGGCTAGAGTAGCAGAATTCTGCCCATCGGGATAAAACCGGGCAATGACGGCGGACTTCTTCGAGCATGGCCCCATGATCAACTAAATTGAAAGCATTGTGGAAATCAACAAGCAGCATAGAAAGACCTACATCACCACCACGGGCCTCAACGAACCGGTTCAAGGCATGCAAAATAGCCTCTCCTCCACCAAAAACCCTGACCCCAAACTGAAGACCATCAAAATAACCAGATAAAGTAGGGACAACAAGGCAAGCACCAACCTTAGAAACAATGCGTCTCCAAATAGTGTCAACTGCTATAGGACGGATACCACCGCCTTGTTTAACAAGTGACATGAGCGGAACACTAGCAATGTACTCACCAAGGGGCTGCGGACATCGACCCTCAATGAAAAGATTAACTACCTGAGTAATAGAGGCCAACAAATCATCCGAGATAGCAACAACAGCACCACCCAAACAATCCATAAGATGTTGAGCTCGAAAACCATCCCTCCCACAAGATGTACCACGAGGGAAGCTCCTAATCATATCCAAAACAACAGCTTAAAGGCAACAAGAGGATGATAATCCACAGGTGAAGCTGATAGAGAGGGAGATTGGGTGACGAGATGCTTATCTTGCAGAGCCAGAAGAGTGGCATCGGAATAAGGGGCAACACCGGATGAAGAAAGCACCTGAACATCAGCAGTATAATGCCCATCACAAATCTTCCTTCGACATTGCCAAAGGTTGAACTCACTCAAAACAAGATCCTCCTCCACAACAACTGAAGGCGGAAATTATTAAAAAGTATTTTTTAAATTTTTTAATTTGCCACGTCATTTGTTTGACAGTCAACGATGAGTGTTGACTGCCACATCTCAAAAAATTAACGGAGGTTAACAAATTTGAAAGATTTAACTAATTTGAGTGACTACGAATGGAATAAATTAATTTTAGTGGCAAACGTGAACTTGTTAAGTAATTCCAGTAATCAAACTTGCAATTTAACCCTTATTTTGGGTAAATCTCACATTGGCATGGTTGTCACCCCATGGTCTGACCAACCAGTCGAACCCAGTGTCCTGATCCGGTGAACCAAACCTATTATACTGTTGGCCCAACGTGGTCAAACACAAAATAGCTCGGTCGAAACCAACCCAGTGTCCTGATCGGGTGAACCAAACCTAGTAGACTGTTGGCCCGACGTGGTCAAACACAAAATAGCTCGGTCGAAACCAGCCGAGTCAGCAGTCGGACCATGCGGTTGGTTATCTTTGCTAAATAATGTTGGCCTGTAACGAGGCTCTCGATGTTCGAACTTCCAACCTTAAGGTGACAAATAATAATTTTACCACTATACTACATAGCCAATTAAGTTTGCATTAAGCAGTCTTGTTTGTATTCTTTGAAGCGACTGTCTTTCCGTTTCATTTTTGTCTCACCGTAAATGAGATTATAGATGTTGATTAGAAATTAAAGCATTGAAAATTGTATGGCACATTGAATACTTGCTTTTCATTATGAAATATAAGCAATGAATATTTGAATCTTGATGTTATAGGTTAGATTCAAGTTTGTTAGATATTTTGACTATATGTTAGATTCAAGTGTAAACGTTTTGATGTTGATGTTATATATTGTATTTAATGATGAACCCTTGTTATTTTTATGTAATGTTATATGAATGTGAATGTAGAGAGATTGTTGAGACCTTAAATAACTGAGAAACATGCACAATATAATAATTTTTTCCATGTATCTAGGATAAACCGATTTGACCACTAACCCTAATCCCACTTCACCAACTGATAAACTGGATTGACAACCTTTCATATTGGAGACAACATCATGACATAATTGATCGTCAATCAAAGGAGTTTCCCCAACTGCTCAAAAAAGAAATCTATAGGACTCAGTGTAGTATATTAGATCTAATAAACGTTGACATATGATAGAGGGCTGGCATGGCTTGCTTTTAATCATATCTATGGGAAATATAATCTGGATAATCACGTTCACTTCGTGCATAGATTTTATGTTAACAATCTATCTTGATTTACTGTTATTTCTCATTTTTCGAGTTCTATTGGGTTTTTTATACATTTTCTCGATCTTTGATTATGTATTTGAGATTCTGAACACAACTGTTGATCGGAAGTCTTTGGCTTATTAGAGGTCCAGCGAAAATACGATATGGGTAGTCTTCATACCCGCCAAGTTAAATTTGACTCATCACTGCAACAAATCAAATTTTGGCGTCGTTGTTGGAGAACTTTTTTCGGTTGTGGGAAAGAGATTTTCAAGTTGAGTTCTTCAAACTTCTTTTTGTTGATTATCTTTTTATATTAAATTCAAGTTGATACCTATTTCTTTTCATCTGGAATTATGTTTATAAGTTTGTAGATAACTAAAAAAATTCAAAGCACATAACCTCAAATTTTTGGTGTTAGAGGAGCCAAAAACAAGCCAATTTTGGCGACCAATCCACCAAAAATTGGAGACTCATCCTTCTAGCCAATTTGAGACTTGAAGTGACTCATTCAGAGTCACTCATTACACTAATTATGCCCCTTAGAAATCAAAGTACAATTGCGGTCAGAAAGAGAGCGCATGGAAGTGTTTGCTTGTTTGTTGCATATGGAGGCAATAACAGGTAATCTTCCATTCCATCCAAGATGTAAAGCTCTGGAATCACCCACTTATGTTCCGCAGATGACCTCCTGGTGTTCTCTAATGGTTCTTAATATGTTGTGGAGAAGATTAAAAGTATCATGCTTGAGTTCTGTCAGTTGTCTCATCTGAAATTTAATCCAGAGAAGAGTAAAATCTTTTTTGGTGCTATTCTGATGATAGTCAGAAGCATAATGCTGATCGAACAGGTTTCCCAGTTGGCTTATTCCCTATAAAATATTTTGGCAGGGAAATTTTGAAAGCTGACTATGCGTTGCTGATTGAGAAGATAACTCGTAGAGTTTGTGGGTGGCATTCTCTTTTATTGACTTAGGCAGGGAGGATTCAACTCATTTTTTGTGTGATATCTAGCATTCTGCATTATAGGATGAGTATTTTTCTTCTTCGATAGAGTATTTTACATAATAGAGAGACTATCTACAATAAATTTTTGTGGGGAGTAAAGAAGGATGGTAGCAGAACTCGTGCCCTTGCAGCCTGGAAATATGAAGTCATGCCTTGGTTTGAAGGAGGTACTTTAAGGTTTGGAATAGAGCATGTGTCGTTCGATGCATTTGGGACATCCTTGTTGGTAGTGGAGCGTTATGGGTTGCGTGGATTAGAAAATATTGGCTTAAGAATCGATCTGTTTGGGAGATTTCTTCTTTACATTAGTTGGTTCTTGGGTATGGAAATGAGTCCTTAAAGCTTGGGAGGAAGCTCATAGGTTCATTACTGGTGCTTCGGCCACAGTGAAATGGGATGGACATTTTATGCCTAGATACTCTGTTAAACAGGTATGGAATTCTATCCGTCCCTCTTCCCCTTTGGTACCTTGGCATCATCTGATTTGGGGTAAATTATTGATTCTGAAACATAGTCTACTACTATGGTTGATTATTAAAGATCATATATCCACAAAAGACAAGATGGCTTCTTGGGACAAGCAGGGATCACCTGTTTGCATCCTGCTCTTTCACCTATTATGTTTTGCAGCAATGCTTGGTGCGTTTAGCTCCAGCCCCTCTTTGCATTAACTAGGACTCTATGATAATCTAGGAAATGCACACTTGGAAAGGTACCGTAAAAAAAAGGTGGTCAAATTGTATGGACAGCTATTTGAGTTCAATATGAAAGGAAAGGTGTAGGAGGTGTCATGGTGCAGATAGAGTGAAGTTGTCGGCACAGTTAATAGCTCAATTGCATTCACAAGTTTGATGGTATATTATAGTAAAGTAGAGTTACAAGGCCTTATTAGCTTATTGGTTTTTTCAGTTTTACATTGTCAACAGTCTATGTGGTACATTCTAATTAGAGGACCCTTAGTTCAAACGGAGTCTGGAGCTAAATGTAATTTTTTATTAACCATAAAAAAAGCACATTGCAAGAGCATCTCTAAACTCTCCATTTTCCTTCACAAATAAAAAAGGGACTTCTTTACTGGTTTTGGCGGCCAAGTCACCAAAATTTATATAGGCAAGCATTTTAACCCTTCAAATTTAACAGAACCCCAAACCAGTCCACTTTTGGAAATTGAATAGTTCTATAACGCTTAAGCTATCTTCTAAGTTAGCAGCTGCATTCTCACCCAAAGGCGGACGCACAGGGTTTTAGAGGTGTTCCGCGGCACCCCTAAATTTTGGTAAAACGATTATTCAACCCGCAGTGGTAATTTACGTATGGAAAAAAATTATAATTGATAGTGAGGGACACCTTGAAATTTGAAAATAATAATTATTCTACTGTCATTTTTTAAATTTGTGTATGAGAATATAAGTGATAGGTTGGGTAATTCAAACCTAGAGCACTATTATTATTTATAAACTTAATTTTCATTAATTTACAACTCATTTTTCTTCTATTTTGAACACTGTATCATATTAAAATGTCATTCACTATCTCTAATTATTTTCAAAACCTAGTAATTAAACTAATTTCAACCTACCCTTAATTTGTATTGATTTTATGGTTGTACGACAAGTGTTGAAAGAGTCTTTCAGTTTTGGGTTACATCAAGAACAATTTTACAAATCGAATATGCGATAAGTTCGTGAATGATTGTTTAGTAGGGTATATAGAGGCAATTTTTTTAACACGATAGACACCAAGTGTATTCTACAATTATTTCAGAGTATGAAAACACATAATTGACTTTTTTAACATGTACGAGTAAGGTATTTTCTTATTTACAATTTTATTTTTATTAATTATTTTATTTTATTTTTATTAAATTTATTTTTTTAAAAGAGGACAGCCATATGAAAATTTCTTGGGTCCGCCTCGGTAATCTCACCTAGTATTACCCAACCGAAAATCACCTCTAACTAGTTTGAAATCACAGCATGGGCTATTCATTCACTAAATGTATATGCCTTTTCTAGGGTGATTTCTAGTTTGAATAAGAGTAGGGATCTCCAGTTGAAGAACGTGCCTTAGCTCTCTGCTTTTTCCCTCCCAACCAACTCTCGTTGTCTGGGTCAAATATCATCATCCATGATAGCTCTCCCCTGAAGGAATTCTGATCCATCTCCGGACGCCGCTCCGACTCCCGCATCTCCTGACGCCTCTGCAAGTATAGTCATCTCGCCTCCAAGTACCTACTGTTCTCCTAGTTCTTATCTACCTAGGTCGCTTCCAGCCAGAACAGCGACTTTGGAAATTGACAGATTTCCTGTCGTTTAAGATGCCGCCATCGCCAGCCAACCTCGCTCCTCTCCTTCTACTGATCTTCTATTGCGGAGTCAACCTCCTCTTCTCATTCTAACTTTGCAATTCTTTGGCGGTGCAGGTTTGGCAGAATCAGGGTTTCGAATTTGGGGATTTTTTCCTAATTCTTGAATTTAGGTGAAATTGAAGCTTGATTACTATTCAACTGGTGGTTCTTATCCTCCTCAGCTAGTCGGCTCGACGAAATTAGGCGTTCTCAACCTAATCAGCCTTTCTTCAGATCGATTAGGCACGTCATCGGAGGGTCGATTGAATTGTCTGTTGTTTCAGAGTTATCCAGCTGTTGTTACTTCTCTATGTCATTGCTGTTATATTCTGCTTCGCCATATTGAGTATATCTCACTGTCGCCGTTGTACGACTTCGCCTTTTGGAGGCCTTTTCTATTGAGAATCCATACAGCAACCGCAACACTCAGAGACCTGGTTGCCTTGTCCCTACTCTATATGGCCATCCTGGCCTGAAATTGTCGGGGTCTTGGTTCCCCTTTGACGGTTTCATCTCTCCGTGCAGCTGTTAATCGCTTCTTCCCATTTCTGGTGTTCTTGAGTGAGACAAAGCGTGATGATGATTTCGTTCGCTCCCAGTTGCGAACTCTAGGTTTTCAGAATAATAGATTGCATAGTTCATCTGGTTGTGGGGGTGGGCTAGCAGTAGCCTAGACCTGGACCTCTTTTGTGTCTTGTACAATGTTATTAGATTCGCTGCTTCTTCTCTTTGTTGAGTGTCAGCATCCTGTTCTTGGGGTATTTGCAATTATCTTTGTGCACTTGAGTTGTGATGTTAGAACCCGAGATGTTCAATTCAATAAAATTTCAGAATTAGCTTTATCGTGTGCCTTGCCCCTTCTAGTTATGGGTGACTTTAACTGCTTATTATCTATTTCTGAAAAGTCTGGTGGGAGGCAGCCGACTCTGGCCGCCATTGACCAACTGAACTCATTCTTAAATGTTGCATCTCTCCATGATTTAGGGTTTGTTGGTTCTGCCTTTACTTGGTCGAATTGTCAGTCGGCATCTGATCATATTTTAGCTCGCCTTGATAGATGTCTTGCTAATACTGAGACTGTTTCGGCTTGGCCAGATATGCAGGTTATCCATCTCTCGGATTTAGGATCTGATCATCGGATGCTAATGGTTCAATTCACCAGGTCTTCTCTTCGACGACCAGCATGCTTTCGGTATGACATTAGATGGAATTCCAATCCGGAAGTTCCGGAAATTTTACTTACAGCTTGAAGAAAAGTGGTTTTTGGGACCACTCAGTTTCGCATTCAAATACAGCTCAAGGTTTTGAGGCAGGCTTTGGTGGGTTGGGCTCGGCAAGGTACCTCTAATTTTACTCGTCGAATTTGTGAACTCCAATCGACCATTGAGGTGGCTCGGGAATCAACGCCGTTAGATTGGGATATGACCAAATGTTTAGAATCGCAGCTGGCTGATGCTTATGCCCAGGAAGAAGTCTATTGGCAGCAAAAGTCTCGTGTTTGGTGGCTCCAGAAGGGGCATGCCAACACTCATTACTTTCATTTGGCAACCTTGAAACGTCGACGACACAACACCATTCACCGTCTTTGTGACGAACAAGGAGTGATTCACACATCTGAGGATGGTCAAGGCAACAGTTTCACTTGATTATTTTCACTGGTTGTTCTCTTCTAATGGGATGGAACCTCAAGGTTATGTGGATCACTTAAGACTTCCTCGAGTGATCTCGGCAGCTATGAATGAGGCCTTGGTTTTTCCTGTTTCTCGGGAGGAAATTAAGCGGGCTGTGTTTAGCATTGGGGCATCACAAGCCCCCGGTCCTGATGGCTTTACGGATGCATTTTTCCAGAACTTTTGGGATGTGGTTGGGACTAGTGTGTGTTCTGTTGTGTTATCATTTTGCAGAATTGGTCATCTTCTTCATAGCATAAACCATACATGGATCACTCTAATACCTAAGGTTCCTAACGCGAAATCGATGAAGCAGTTGCGTCCCATTAGTTTGTGTCAAGTTATCTACAAGATAATCGCGAAGATATTGGCTGGGCGTTTAAGTTCCATATTGTCGTCTGTGGTCAGTCCTTTTCAGAATGAATTTATTAAGGGTCGCGTCATCTCAGACAACATCTTGATTGGGCAAGAGGTTATGTCGTTCTTAAAAACGAAAGTACAGGGCAGGGACAAGTGGATGGCTTTGAAGTTGGACATGGAAAAGGGGTACGACAGAGTGGAATGGAAGTTTCTATTTGCTGTTTTGGCAGGTTTGGGTTTCTTTGATAAGTGGCTTTGCTGGATCAAAGGATGTGTCACTTCAGTTCACTACTCTGTCCTCATGAACAGTGTTGAGTATGGGTATTTCCAGCCCCATCGAGGGATCCGACAAGGGGATCCTCTCTCGCCTCTTCTTTTTGCTCTTTTTATTGAGGCCTTTTCAGCCAAACTCTGTGTAGAGATTGCCTCTTCGTCCCTCCATGGACTCCGAATTCACAGGTTTGCTCCACTAACTTCACATATTTTCTTTGCGGATGACTCTTATTTGTTTCTTCGTGTCTCACTTCCTGGATGTGGTAACCTTTTGCACTTGCTTAATGAATACGGTAATATGAGTGGTCAAAGAGATTTACAAAAATCATCAGTGTGTGTGAGTATTAATGTTTCAGATCAAGAGTTGGCGGACATTAATTCTTTTCTGAGTGTTGGCATAATGGGGGCTGGGGATAAATACCTTGGTCTACCAGCGCAAGTTCTTAGATCTAAAGTTCAGACCTTTAGATTCATTGAAGAGGCCTTGGCTGCCCGAATAAGGAGCTGGAAGTCGAAAGCCATGTCGTTGGCCGCTAAGGAAGTTGTCCTTAAAACTGTTGGTTCAACAATTCCTATTTATGCTATGTCTTCCTTTAGATTGGTATCCGATTCTTGTCACAGGTGTAATAGCCAACTGGCTCGATTCTGGTGGGCGGACCAAGATAAGGTGAAAGGCATTCATTGGGTTTCCTGAACGATGGTCTGTCAAAGCAAGTTTAAAAGGGGACTGGGGTTTAGATATTTTGACCGTTTCAATGTGGCTTTGCTCGCGAAGCAGGCCTGGCGAATCTTCCTCAACCCGCATGTATAAAGCTTGCTATCATCCTAATCATCACTTTCTCGAGGCGCCTACTGGTACGCGGCCACATGGGCATGGCAAGGCATTCGTCAAGGCAGGGATTTGTTGAAGCGTGGCATCCATTGGAGTATTGGTTCTGGTGTATCTGTTAAGATTCTTGAAGATCTTTGGCTTCCCACTTCTCCAACTTCTGCGCCATTTCTCCTCTCTGGGGTCACTCTTCCCTTTTGCTTAGTTTCAAACCTAATTTGTCCCAATACTCGCTCTTGGAAGGTCAATCTGCTACATTCCTTTTTTTACTGTTGACTCGGTTAAACCAATCTTATCCATCCCTTTGCCTTTGCACCCTGTAGAGGATAAGCAAGTTTGGCAATATTCAACTTCAGGGAAATATACTGTTAAAACGGGTTATCATCTATTGACTAACGAGCGAAATCAGCGTAACCCCCTCCACTTATTCCTTTTGACTGCAGGTTCTGGAATGTGTTATGGAATATCCCGATTCCGACAAAGCTTAAACATTTTTTTTTGGAGATTAGTGCGTCGGTTCCTCCCCTTGCAGAGTTCTACTCACAAAGACATTGGTTCTCAATGATACTTGCCGCATTTGCTCTGCACCCCTGAAACCTTTGAAAATGCTTTTCTGTAGTGTAGAGTAGCGGTTGGATTGTGGCAAGCTGCGGGGCGGTTACACTTATCCCGCCTGCTTATAGATGATGCTTGGAAATCCCTGTTGCTTTCTTTTAATATGTCTAAAGTTCAAATTGCTAGTGTTGTGTTTCTTTGCTGGAGATTCTGGAAAGGAACCATCAAATCTAATGTTCCTGCCCCTCTAATCCAACCGTCTGTTGGAATAGGCTCTTCTTCATCTTCATCAGTCCAAGGTTGTCCTCCTCATGGAGCTTTAGTTAGATTTGATGGTTCCTTGAATCGTAACTTGGGAGGTGGTATCGGGTTTGTGGGTTTTGATTCATCAGATAATGTTATTTTTTTCTTGTGGGAAGTTTTATGATGGTATTCAAGATCCATTTCTTATGGAGCTTCTATGCTTACGTGATGCATTGCAGTGGTGTTTGACTTATGGAATTCTATCTGTTCATTTTGTTGGTGATTCACAGTTGGTGGTTCGACGAGTTTTGGCGGGCGATGTTGCTCATTTCTTAGGTGGTGCCATTCTACAAGAAGTTCGCAGTCTCTCCTTCATATTCAATAGCTTTTCTTGCTCTTACGCGCCTCGACGATGTAATAGGGTTGCTCATCTTGTTGCACAGAAGACCCTCTCATCAGTAGTTAGACTAATGGTCGACTATCGGGTTTGGCTATGTTCTGTTTTGTGACTCTTTGGCTTGAAATCTATTGGATGACTATATTCATGATTCTTAGAGTGCCTTTTAGGACCTGTTTGGTTTGTTTGTCTTGCAGGAGGATCTCATCTTCGGATTTCGAGTTTTGTTGTCATGCAGGGGCTTGCTTTTTTTAATAAGGCTGCCTTGCCTCCTTAGACTTTGTTTGTTCCTCCTGGGTTTTTGTGCAGGGATCTCCCCTCTAATTTGTTTGAAACTTAGTTAGCCCTTGGAGGCTAGATGTATTTCTTTCTTCTGTTGTTTGTTAACATTGCAGGGATGTTATGCTTTTGGCTTACAAACAAGATCATTTTCATTGGCCTTCTCTTAAATGCAAGGTAGTAGGATGAGGGTAACTGGGTGATAGTGCGGTCAGCATCCTCACACCACCTTCCGGGTTTAGACTTCGAACTCAGTTTGGATACTCTCTTCCGACATTCTTTTTTGGATTTTGGTATATTTGCTTTTTCTTTTTTGTAAATTAGGCTGTTTTGTAGTCTGTGTTTGTTCATTTTACAAGTTTAGCTGCTTATATGGATGTCCTTTTGTGGCACTAACGGCCCTCTCATAGGTAGTTCGACAACAATGGAACTATCTGGTTTACTTTTGTACTTTGTACGACTCTTGGCTACTACCATTATGGATGTTTATGTTAAAAAAAAACCCACCCATCTAACAAACTTTTTGAGGGTGTAGAGTCTATAACACCTTGAGGAGTCTCCAAGAAAGCAATCAATATACCACTCTTCCCTTCTACTTTGAAGGGTGAAGCAAAGATTTTACTCCAATCTCATTCGGCCAGAACCTCTAAAGTATGAGATCCCCTCGCTCAGTGCTTCCTATAGGAATAATTTCTTACGTTGAAGGCTAAAGAAATAAGGGAACGCATTGTAAGGCTTAAATACAAGGATGGTGAGGCGTTCTATGAAGTTTGCGATTGCTACCAAGGATTGCTGCCCACACCATGGGTTTAGCCTGGAGCAACAAGTACAGTGGTTCCGCAAGATTTTACACTTTCTAACAGCTCAAACACTCAACCAATTCTCATAATGAGACGTCACTTTATTCAGTGCAGTCGCTCGCGAGCAACTCGGCATTCGAATTTGACAAAACTCAATCGACACTCCACTCGTTATTTAACAAGCCTGCTCGTGAGCGACTCGTTAGTAAATGAGCCAAGTTTGTGCTAGACCATGCTCATCTTGATAAGCTCGTGAGCTAGCTCGACTCAGTGGTTTATTGAGCTAAGCTCTCGAGCAGGCTTGTTTAGAGCTTGTGGAAGAATTAATTACTCTTCTGAACATGTATTATCTTGTTAATACAGATCTGTATGAAAGTTAGCTATTATTTTGTAGTTTCTAGTGTACTTTTTATCTTTTAAACTCTTATGTGTACACATTTTTCAACAAGAATGATTTCAATTCGAGCTCAATTTGACCCAAGCTTGTACTCAGTTTTACAAGCTGTGTTAATGAGCATTTACCAAACTCTACCGAGTCGAGATCGAGTTGGATTATTTTCAATCGAGCCGAGCTCGAGCTCGAGCTGGATTATCAAAATTCGAGTTCGAGCCGAGCTTGATCTGAAAAGTTTATAAACGAATCGAGCTCAAACCAAGCAAAAATTCGACTTGACTCGGCTCGTTTGCAGTCTAATAGTAACCGAAATGGAGCATTATCCCTCTATGGCTCACAAAACCAAAAGTAGGAAGGAATGGTAGCCCTTTCAACCAATAAAGTTTATCGAAACACAACCAGAATTCAATATCGCCTTGTTGCACACACAAGGAGTGTGTAGGCAATTAGCTTCCCCTCAAGCTCAGCTAGCTTCACTTACTCAAGCTCACAGATAGCGTGAAAGCAATAAAACACAGTGAGGTATGAAATCCTATGCTTTTGAATGATGAGCCCAATTCGAAAGAAACGATTAGAGAAAAATGAATTCCTCATGAGGTCCTACCACTCCAGTCTCATAATCGTATTATAGATAAGAGAGTGTGTAAAAAGTGGGAGAGCTCTTCGAGAAGAGAGAAATGGAGGAGATCGGAAATGGAAGAGATCGATTAGGGATTTTGACTGATCCCAGTCAACTGAGACGAAATACTCAATCAAAACGAAACGTTTCAAATTCGTCTGACTTGGGCTGGACTCAAGTGGGCCGACAGTGGAAATAGCCCACTGAACAGATCAATCAAGTACTGGGCTTGACTTTAACCCGAGCCCACACTTAAGTACACAGCAGACAGAAGAAGTTCTTCTTCTTCTTCACTGAACCAGAGAAAACAGAAAAACAGAGGAAAGAAGAACAGGGGGCGCAGAAGGAAGGAAGTCGAAGGAAGAGCAGAAAGTAAATGGCACAGCAGATTTTTAACGAGGTTCGCCACAGGGCTACTCCTCGTCCCGGAATAGTAGACACTATCCCGAGAGACACTTTTGATTTTCTTGACTCTATAGCAAAAGAGAAAGACCCAAATACAGACTCGAATGTGAAAATCAAAAGCCAAAGTAAAGACAACCGAATTCTCGCAGGAATTCACCACAACCCTTGATCGTCTGAACCTATACCTCAGAACTAATCAAGGCCACTGATAATCCCCAACCCTTTGCCCTATTCCACAAAGAATCCCAGAACCAGTATCGAAAATAGTCTCTGATCTTCCTTTATATAGGTTCCAGGGAAGTAGCCGTTAAGCCGCTGTCATTCGAAAGATTTCAGCAAAGGAAGGTTTGAGGATTTTCACAGCTGCTCCCCCTTGATTGCGGCTCCAATCTTCTTTGATTTCTTTAATTCGAATCGAGCAATCTCGTGGCTTGATTTGATTGAGAGCTTTCAATCCAACAATCTCCCCCTAAGTTAAAGATTGCTGATTTGCCGATTGAAACCTACAAAAGAACAACAGTACCCTTTCCCGGAGCAACAAAAGCAACCAAAGCAAATAGTCCGAGAAACAGATCCAATAACCAGCTGGTAAAACATATCCAGCAAACTATTCTAGTCAAGCACAAGCAAACCATTCCAGCTGGTAAAAACACGTCCAGCAAACCAATCCGGCAAGCTGAAACAGAACATACCAGAACATCCAAACTCAGACAAAGGTTTAATTAAAACAACTAAGACCAAAACCCCTAAAGTTACTCAGAGTAATACGCATCCCTAAGATCAGCCAGGACTTCTGCTAAGGATGGAGTACCAGAGGTACCAGAGGATGAGTCATCAGAATCGTCGCTGTCAGATGATGAGTCACTACTGACCCAGTTGACTTCAATTTCAGGGACAGTCTCTCCTGCAGGCTCAGCTGCTACAGCCTCTTCTTTGTCTGGTTCTTCTACTGGTCCATCATCGTCATCAGAATTGTGAGCAGCATCATCTTCACTATCACTAATACTATCATCAGCATCCTCCCCCTCAACGCCAAGCGCAATCTCGTCGAGGATATCCTCAGCAGTGAGATAGACATTTGGGGTGATGATACGAAAGGGATCCAAGGCGATATGAAGGCGGATGATAAGGCGGGTGATCAGTGGACCAAAAGGAAGGTGGCCAAGGTATTCGAACTGTTGAAAGGGATATATATGACCAAAGAAAAGATGACAATAATCTAGAGGGACACGATGAACAGCATGTTGAAGGATCCAAAGATCGAGAGGGGTGACTCGATCAAGGAGAATAGTTCGAGGAAGAAACCTTCGAGTCAACAGATAGTGAAACGTGAGAAGGGATGGAAGAAGAAAAGCGTTAGGCAACGTAAGGTATGCATCAGGCTCATGACCAGTGATGAGTACAAACTCATGGACTATATCAAAGTTAAATAACGGGAATTCAGAGTCATTGGCCAGAATCTCCCCAAACCTGGGAATATTGAGTAGACGCCTAAGATCCTCAAGAGGAATAGTGACAAGATTTCCATAGATTAGAGTAGTGAAGGTGCGGGTGTGAAGCCCAAAAGACCTAAAGTTGGAGTAAAATAAGCGCACACCTTCCGGACATATGTGTTCAGGGGTGTCATTGATCAAGAAATCCCATCCCAAATTATGGACAAACCTAGTAACATCTAGACCATATTCTATGAGATCAGCAAAAGGAACATGGTGAGTTGGTACGAAAGGACGATGAGCAAAGGATATAGAGTGGCGATGAGCATTTGCAGGGATAGGATCGTGGAAGAGAGTACCTGTGAAGGTCTTGGAGAACCCTAGCACCATATCTACTAAAGGAAAATTACTAACTACTAAAGAAGGATACCTAAGACTAGGAACCAAAACAAGCTTAAATAGAGAACTGCATACTACAGAACAGGCATAATTAAAAGAAGTAAGGCAAGCAAAACAGGAAGAAAAGTAAATACACCAACACAGAAAAGGAAAGATACGACAGTAGAAGGATGAGCAATTAAGCAATCAAGTAAGATCCTCCAGATTCTCTGGAGATCGCAGCCCTATTTCATAACAAAGGAAGGTAAATCTGTCAGCATTGAAGGCTTCTGTAAAGAGATATGCCAGTTGGTACTCAGTAGAAATATGACTAATCTTTATGGTATTTTGCTGAACTAGATCCCTTATAAAGTGATACTTTACTTCTATGTGTTTCGTTCTTGAATGCTGAACCGGATTTTTAGACGTACAAATTGCACTCGTGTTATCACATAGAAGGGGAATTGAATTGATTTCTATATTGTAATCCCTAAGTTGATTTCTAAGCCATATGAGCTGAGTGCAGCAGGTGCCTGCAGCAATGTATTCTGCCTCTACAGTTGAAAGGGCAACAACACCTTGTTTTTTGCATGACCAAGAAACTAGAGAAGTTCCTACAAACTGACATGTGCCAGTTGTGCTTTTCCTATCTGTTAGGCTACCAGCAAAGTCTGAGTCACTGTAGCCTATTAGAGAGAAGTTGTTATGTTTAGGATACCATAAACCTATTTCTGGAGTTCCTTTTAAATAACTAAAAATCCTTTTCACGGCTGAAAGATGACTTTCTTTTGGGGCTGACTGAAATCGAGCACAAATACAAACACTATAGTGTATACCAGGTCTACTGGCAGTGAGATAGAGCAGTGAACCAATCATGCCTCTATACTTCTTTTCATCTATCAAAACACCTGATTCATCTCGATCTAATTTAAGGTTGACTGCCATGGGAGTGGGACTGGGTTTAACGTTATTGAGATCAAATTTACTTAGCATATTCTGAAGATATTTTGATTGATTAATGAATATTCCAGAGGAAGTTTGTTTAACTTGGAGACCAAGGAAAAATTTAAGTTCCCCCATCATGCTCATTTCAAAAACAGAATG